GCTCTCCCTTTTCAGGGAAGAGGCAGGGGGGGGGGCATCCGTGGCAGGTCGGGCCCTGGCGGGCGGCTGGCGGTGGCACTCCCTGCCTCACGCTGTGCCCCGTCTCTCCCGAAGCACTTCTACCAGAATAGGGCCCAACCTCCCACGAGCGCGTCCCGCGTGCAGAGTAACACGACGGCCCGGCCCGGCCCGCCTGCCCATGTGTATCCAGCTGCTTCCCAGGTGATGATGATACCCTCCCAGATATCCTACACACCTTCCCAAGGAGCGTATTACATTCCCGGACAGGTGAGGGCCGTGCCCTGGGTGTCCCTGGGCTCTGCGGGAGGGGGCTGGAGTGGGCACTAGAGACGTTACCTGGGGTTGGAGCCTGGGTCTGTCCTGGGGGGTGGAGGGGGTCCCTGGGCTCTGCAGGCACCCACTGAGCGGAGCAGCGTGTTCCCCATCACTGTAGAGAGGCAGCAGGCAGTGCTGTTTTTCACCCCCTCCGCCCTCTACTTCCCCAGCCCCGCTGGGGTGCTGCGGGCAGCCCCTGGGATGTGTGATGCCCAGTTTGGCAGGGTCCTGCTCCCTGCCCTGCTGCCTGTGGGTAGCGATATGCAGCCGTGAGGTTTGGGGCTACACTGGTGCCCCACAGAGGGTGGTAACCAACCTTTCTTCTACCCCATTGCAGGGTCGCTCCACGTACGTTGTCCCAACCCAGCAGTACCCAGTGCAGCCTGGTGCCCCTGGTTTTTACCCTGGAGCTAGCCCTACAGAGTTTGGGACTTACGGTACATACTGGGGGAACTTCTTTGCTCGCCGTTGGTTTTCCGTCCGCAGCGTTTTGCCCCTTTTGCTCCCCTGATTTTGGGCTTCCTGCAGTCCTTGCGGATTCAGGGGCTGAGCACAGACATCTCTCTTCACTGGGCTGGGGGGGGGTGCGTTTTCATGACTTATGACACCATTATAGGCTGTTTTGGGGGACAGGAGGTGTTCTGCATCTCATTGCAGCACTGAAGTGCGCTGTGTAGTGAATCATGTCCCACCTGTCCATCTACCCCCTTTCCCAAATCTGTGCTGTTTAATGTTTAACTGTCCTGGCAGAGAGGCAGGGCAGACTTTATCCCCTGCTCCCCCTCCAGTTGCTGTGGCAGGCTGGAAGGCAAGGAGCAGTTTTGTGCTTGCTGCCCCCCAACTTTGCTCCCGTTTTTCCCTCCTGTGCGCTGTGTAGTGAATCATGTCCCACCTGTCCATCTACCCCCTTTCCCAAATCTGTGCTGTTTAATGTTTAACTGTCCTGGCAGAGAGGCAGGGCAGACTTTATCCCCTGCTCCCCCTCCAGTTGCTGTGGCAGGCTGGAAGGCAAGGAGCAGTTTTGTGCTTGCTGCCCCCCAACTTTGCTCCCGTTTTTCCCTCCTCTCCCCCCCCCCCTTCCCCCCAGCTGCACCCCCTAAACCAGCAAAGCCGAGGGGGAGGGGGGCCGGCAGCAGCAAAGCAAACCGGGGCGGAGATGGGTTTCTCCTGAGCCAGGTATGTGTCCATCCTCCCTCCCTTTTGTCCCTTGGCTGACGTGGGCCCCTCGGAGGAAGGAAGCGGCCCCAGGCAGCAGCCAGCTGGGCTGGCTCCACTGAGCGCTCAGGCTACGGCCTGTCCGCTCCTTCGTGCCCAGTCATGGGGTATCCCGTGGGTGTCTCTGCTTTCTCCCTGGCTCCTCTGTCCTCAACACGACCGCTCCTGGGGTTTGAGGCCCTCCCGCTGCCCCCAGCTGAGCGCCAGGATCTGGAGCCAC